ATGTGGGGCTCCTTCTGGACTCAGGACTCCTGCTCGAAGAGCAGGTGGCAGTCGTGGCCAGGAGGGCCTTGGCACAGCTTTGGGTTGTGAGCCAGTTGTGCCCATTTCGGGACTGGGAGGCCCTGCTCTCAGTCATTCATGCCCTAGTCAGCTCCTGAATGGACTACTGTAACATGCTGTACATGGGGCTGCCCTTGAAGAGAATCCAGAAGCTTCAACTGGTGCAGAATGCAGCGGCGCGGGCAGTTATGTGTGCCCCAAGAACTGCCCTATGTCACACCCCTGCTCCGCAAGCTGCATTGGCTGCCAGTTTGCTTCTGGGTCCAATTCAAGGTGCTGGTTTTGACCTTTAAAGCCTTAATTGGCACGGGACAAGGTTATTTGAAGGACTGCCTCTCCCCAGTTACATCTATCCATCCCATTTGGCAGGATCCAGAAAGAGTACCTTTCCTGCCGTGGCCCCCACCCTCAGGAGCATCATTCCCCCTGGGGTGAGATTGGCTCCAACCCTGCCAGCCTTCTGGAAAGCCCTCGAAACCTGGATGTGCCACCAGGCTTGGGGGTCTCAAGGAAGCATGCAGCCCATTAAATGGTTATATTGCATATAGTTAGAGCGCACGCTCCTCTGTCTTTTTATTTTTGTATTTTCAAATGTGGCTTTTCATTTTTTGATTGTTTTTAATGGTGGAAGACCATGATTTTACTTGTGTTTTAACTACGTACGCCACCCAGAGTCACAGGCAAGTGAGATGGGCGGCCATATAAATTTAATAACTATAAATAAATAAATAAATAAATAAATAAATAAATAAATAAATCTGCATTCAATAAAGCATCCATAAATGAATGATTCAACCAGCATCGATAAATCACTGCAATGAAGTCCATCAATTCTTGACGCTAAGTAGCTGAGACCCAAGGACCGGTGCTCGCCCATCCTTCCATGGACTGGAGTTTCCAGAGATGGCAATTTGATGTGCTTTTTGTCTGTGGGTTGGTTCTGCAAATATCT